CTGAGAATCTGCCCGCACCCATCCCTCACCCCGCCCCTCGCCACTGAACCGTACTGTTTTCACTCAGCAGCTGGTCAGCGGTCACGTTTATGAGGTAAACAAACCGATCGATTCTTGATCACCGTTTTTGTCGATCGGAAAATCAAAATACCAGCGTGATATTGCCGCGAAGATGAAGCAGTTATGTTATTTGATTCGTACTTCACAAAAAAAACCTACACGCGCCATAACTTAAAAGAACGTGTCAGCGGAATGATTCAAATCTCTATCACTTTGCATACATTCTTGGGAACAGAAAAAATTACTTAGAGCAAACACTCTAAGTACAGTGTTCATTCCGTGCAATGGGGCATAAATAAAAGGTTCTGGTGGAAAAGACATTTTATTTTATACCACTGATGACAAGCAAAAAGGTTATATGGGTACCCGGTTAAAAATATATTGATAACTCTATTAATTAATACCAGTTCTAATTTAAAGGAGAAAGTTATGAGAATAAAATAAAAGTTGTCTGTACCACGAAGCATGCCTTCACTGTTTAGACTGATAGTCCTAGAGCTTTTTGAGCATTTATTCGAATATCTTATGACGATAAGCCCGCCAACCACCCCACCCCGCGCTATGCTGTTTTCACTTAGCGGCTGGTCAGCGGTCACGTTTATGAGGTAAACAAACCGATCGATTCCTGATCACCGTTCTTGTCGATCGGAAAATCAAAATACCAGCGTGATATTGCCGCGAAGATGAAGCAGTTATGTTACTTGATTCGTGCTTCATATTCGAGTCGAAGCTTGGGTGGCACAGGTTATATCTTGCGGTGGAATCGACGAGGGGAATTCAGAAAGTTGTAGTGTTTGAATTGTTGGAATAAATGGTCGCATGGGGATGGTAAGTTTAACGAACAATTTCAAATTTTGCCGCTTGAATTGAAAGTAAAGTTCATTTGAATTGCTTTCGTATGTATTTCTGACGGTTTTAGATTTACCTGCTTGATTTATATCGGTTACGCTTCATGTTGAAAAGTCCCTCAAAATGGCGGCCAAACTTGGAGATTGCCGAAAATTAGGTAAGTTCACGGAGCTATAAAGTTCTCGTAAAGGTCGGGCCGCAAAGTTTTTTTCTGCAGTTACCTTTTCTATGGCACCTACTTCCTAGCTATGTTAGTTGGATCAGTTAAGAACGCCTCACTTTTTCAAAAATTTACCTTGAATTTGATCGGTTTTGGCGTGTTTGATTTAGGCGAACCGATAAGGTGTCATTCAAGTCTCCCTGTTTCCTTGATTGAAACGTGATGTTTACGAAAGTCGCCTCGATAGATAAGATAGAGTCAATATACATGGCTGTGGTATTTGTTTTTTGCTGAGTTCCGTAGTTTTTTGTAAATTGTCCTCCAAAGTTGTATGAAATTAAAGTCTTGAAAAGTGTCACGACAAGCCTTCGCTCGAGTGAAATTTAATTTCCGTAAAACTCTGAAAAATAAAGAGATCCGATCAAACTGATTGTGGTTATAGTATAGGTACATGAATGTCTTACAACACACGAGAAACGAGCGAAATCCGTGTCTCAAGCAAAATCGACCGGACCGCTCTTACAGAGACACTCTCTTAAGAGCCCTTGCATCTTCCATTGAAAAGAAAAAGACGTGATAAGAGCTGAATTTAATCAAAAGACTCGAGATGCCATTCAGATAGTTAAGAGTATATTTTAGGTAATTTGTTCATCGCTGTTCCTTGTAAAGTCGGTTACCATGGAAAGGCCTTGTTCAACCCGCCATTGGTTTGGCCAAAAATGCAAATACAAAATTCAGTCAGTAAAGGTGCACTGAAAATCACTACAGAAATCGAACGAGACATTACAAACGACCCAGGAATGAGGTCAGACTATAATTCAAAGCCAGCTTTTAACGAATGACACGACCCCTTAGGGTGTTAATGTAGAAGTGATGACAGTTAGCACATGTGACTTGGACAAATATAGGACGAGTCACATATGAGATTATTCTCCAGGCTGACAGACCTTTGACAATATTCTGTGCGATTAACTGATGATGTTAAATGAAACAAATTTTGACATTCAATCCTTCAGTGAACTGCTCCTGACTGACTGAATAAAACCTAACCTTATAAAGAGTGCGGGACAATTCTGATTCCTTTTACAATGAAGCACTCGGTAGTGACATTTCGCTTGCTTTGGAAAATGTCAATGGGAAGATAACTGACAAGGATGCAAGAAATTAGTTACCAGTAAAAAGTGTCTTATTATGCATACGAAATCCTAGATTGTGAGAAGGATAAACAGTATATCAGTTAGGGGTGACATCAGTTAAAGAACGGACAAGAAAATATAAAGTGTTTATTCTCTTGGAACGAATTTAAACCCGATTAAATCGTGGATTTCAGCGCGCATCGAATGAAGCAGCCTCAACAAAGCGCTCTGCAGAGGTGTAAAGATCCTCGCTCGCTATTTCCATGGCTAAAATCTGGCTGGAAAAATTCAGGAAGCTGATCTACCTGCTTAAACCTCTGATGTAAATCAGAGAAGAGTAAGAATTGGGCGTCGGTGAGTTCGTCCTATCACTGCATGTTCCGCATGAAAATTCAAAGAGGCCGCTAGCTCCAAGCGAAGGTGGCTTGGTTATTCAACATATGGCCGTGGATTTTGATTATGTGTCGAGCTTGCAATGTAATCGGCAATATCTGAGTAATTCTTTGAGCTTCGCTGCTACCTCAAAAAATTCTTATCAAACTTAATTAAAAACTTAAAACTTATGTACAATATACTACTGAAATAATTAAACACATTGGAACAGATTCACATTTTCCTTGCTCTTTGACAATTGTATAATGAATTTTTGTTTCTTTTTCAATAATGAATACACTATCATAATAATTTTCACCCCTTTTTTTGCCTTCCCTAAAAAACTAGAATCTAAAGATTACAATGGTAGGAGCCTTTCACGTGAATCGAAACAGAGAGAAAACCCTAGCTTTTCATGACGTACCGCCTTAAAAGTTATCGTTTTTTCGGCAAATACTGCAAGATTTACATGAATAAAACAATCACGTCGCAAACATTAATCAGCCGTTCAACTGGAATTGGTGTGCAGTTTCATGTAACTCTACACAGATAAACCAGCATTATTCGTTTATGACAAGTAAACTGGAGGACGAGCCATTAGAAAAGAAAATAGCCAACAGCAAAGGAAAAATAAAAGTGTTATTCATCTGAGCTCATGGAAAAACGACAAAAGCAACAACGACAATTTGTAAATGAAATCTTTGCGAATTTGATTGAAAATGACAATAACCATTTTGCAGTTGACTCGTTGTTTTTCCAATGGCCTCTCTCTAAAAGTTCGAAACGGGTCATTTTAATCTACATTTAATTAATTTTCATGTATTTAAGCAGACAAACCAAGCTAAGAAAATACTTCTCTTGGGATTACCGCGAGCAAGAGAAAAAAGAATGGAACATTATTTTCTCTTGCGTGATGGAAAACCTATTGCACGAACTTATAACTAATAAAAATACAATGAACAAAATGGAATCCACTGACTCAAAGTTCTACAATGTTCTTTTCACTGAGACTACGACAAAAAGCTCATCCGAGAAATGATTTGAAGATTAGGTAAAAACAATTTTTTAGAAGTAATTTGTAGTCTGATTGTGATGGTAGATAAACGATCCACACTGTAAAATGAAAAGAGCCAAATTGACCCCAAAAGCCAAATTGGCCCCAATTTCTCGAGGGCCAGTTTGGCCCATCAAGGTTCGTTTTGGACTATTTGAGCCAAAACGGGCGGGACAGGTACCATTTCGACCCCTCCAAAATCTGAATTGGCCCCTATAAATTCTACTTTGGAACTTTTTCTCAATTTGGCCCTTCCAGGAGCCAAGTAGGATTGACCAATTTGGCCCCAACGAGGTGCAATTTTTGAAGAAAAAAGAAAATATAAAAATGATTTTCTTTTTCGACCATATTTCGTTCCCTATACTATTCCTTATAAAGTGTTCAAATTTTCAACGGTTCCTCTCGTAACTGAACACCGAGTCACACAACGAATTAATCGTTGGCTTTTTCTCGAGACGTGAGCGTGAGCTGCCTGTGATGGCATTAGTCAAACCTAGACCACGTGCATTGGAAACAATAATGAATTATAGCAGCGAATTCGTCACTGAAGAGGCTGTTTCTTGGCTACATTCGCATGGAATGAGACTTAAGAAAGGAAAGGTAGGCAAAAGAAATTTCTTAACAACGTATTTTACTGCAACTTTACATTCACAAACTTGACCACTCCATTGATCTTTGTTCGTATCTTATCTTGCAGAAAAAGACGGTTGCGATGGCTAAGATCTCCTTGCCATCGCCCAAGATGCAGACGTACCAAGGCACTACATCCCTATTATAAAAGAGCGTCTAAAGCTCAAGAAATTGATTGCAATGAACGTTGAACCTAGAGATGACACGAGTTCTTCGTCGGTACGATAATTAATTTTTCCACCAGAGAATTTGACGCATGAATGGTTCGCCTCTTCTCCCGCGTCTTGTTGAGTCTCAGCGGTTTCGCAACTAAAGTCACGTGATCAAATTTTGGCGCCGAGAGATAGAGACGGTTACAGTTCGAATACTGCATTTGCACAAGATGGATTTAACTTATTTCAAGATTCTCTGATTTTAGGATCTCTCACTCTGAATTCTTAATCTTTTTCTTGAAAAGATGAACTGATATTTTTATGTCTATGTCTTTGTTTGTATCCACTTAAGCTGATTTTCTGGCTCTCACTCTTTCAGCGTGCAGAATCAAGTCCTTCGAGTAATGCACCTATCATCGGCCATCCCCTGGGGGGGGACCCCGGGCAAGGGTGGGGACTTTGTAAAGGACCCTGTCAAAGTTCTTATTTTCCCCCTCCTAGGTGGGGACACAGAGGAATCAAAGTTCCCCTCCCTGAGGGGAATCACCTTGAGCAGCTTGAAACCTGACAAGAAAACAGTACTTTATACCCTTAAGGCGGGGGTAAACCTGAAAAAATGCCCATTTTTCACTCATTTTTCACAGCTAGGACTTACTTCAAAACTTAGGCAAACTATATATCCCTGGAAAGCTTATGACTTGAAGATCATGAAAAAAAATATTTCAGACTCAACATGTCAATTGTAATAGGATACCACTCATTTAATTGAGCCACCTGCTGGGTTCTACCAGGGGTTACTTAAGAAAAGATAACTCCTTCTGGAATTAATGAAAAATAACATTTTTAGTATCAATTCAAAGAAGACATGTTGCTTATTGTTATAAGCAGAGGGATTTCTAATATGTTGAAAACATTTTAAATGATGATCAATTAAATTTGACATGGAAAATCAGAGGGGTGTTTCACTTCATAACTTTAAGTACATACATCATATGGAAAATTGCTCTGCTTATAACACAAAACTTATCAAAAGGAACAAATGCTGAAAATTTCAGATCAATTGGATAAATTGTTGTCAAGATATCTTTTCTTGAAGACAAAATTATTGCGTAATGAGAAAATGGCCTTTAAACTTACAGATAGCAATCAAACTTAATTTTTTACAATATGTAACCACTATAGTGGCCCAAGTGTCCATATTTTGTCCACAGGAGTATCTAAAAGTAATTTAAAAACATCCTGGTTCATAAGTAACTCCTTCAGCTTCTCGAAGGGCTTCCTCTCGACGAGTCCTCAGAAGTCGCTCCCCTTGATGCCGTCTCTTTTCCTTCTGCATAACCTGCAAATCGGACTTAGCCAATCTTTTACTGTCTTTTGCATGTGTTGCCACTCTTGTACAAACACCACCAGGGATACAAAGCCTCTCCATGATTTTTAGCCTACTAGAAGTTCCATTATGGTAGTGGCAGACTGCTGATGCCGCAGCACACCGAATTACTTTTACACTATGGTGTTTATGTTTAGGACACCGTACCCACACCATTGAGTTAACACACTCATTGGGATTTTGTGTTGTTCCCAACACACACCTCTCTAGCAATTTCGAGTCACTTAGAGTCATAAAAGTGGGTTTCAAGACATCAAGAAAGACCTCTGGCAAACAGTTACCACTACTGTATGTAGATGTTCCTGTTGCTTTGTCTTGCTTCCATTTACACCAGGAGGATTCCCCTGGTGGACAAAATCGATGCTGTTTGGCTGGGTCATTTGACTCAACATTGTGATGGAGTATTGCAATAATGTTTTTTTTCATTCCATAAACTGCAACCTCCACCTCCCTTCTTCCTGGATTGGATTTCCTGATGGTATTTTGCCGAATTGCAAGTCCATAATCTTTCTGGAACTTCTTTATTCTTGTGTCAGACAGTCTCCCTATACCACCAATAGGTTTGCCATCAGCTAGTTTCCCTTTAGTTCTAGCCTTCAGGTTCAACAGATGTTTGGATAAATTCTAAAGGAACCAACGGTTTCTTTAGAGTCCGAGTCGGAGAGCTGATTTTCATCCCGCGAAGTGCTCGGAGTTGAGGCGGCGATTTCGTCAACATCAGGAGCTGTTTCTTCAGACTCTTCTTTCTGTTTTCGCCTTCCAGAAAAATTTCTCTTTCTTTTCTTCCTGTAGACAGATCTACTTTTCTTTCCGACCATTTTCGATACAACTTTTCCTTTGATTATAACTTTTCCTTTGATTGCTCCGAGTACACCGAGTGTCACATTCGACCAAAACTGCCTCTAAATCTATCCCATAATGGTTTTGACCCTAGAAAACTCTTCAGATAAGACTAAATAAAGTATCTCTCGTTAAATCCTGCCCGTTTGGAGCTTGGTTGCCAGAATAACACGTCATAAACAACTGAAAAATTAAAAAATGCTCTTCTCGTTGCCATGGTAACCACGCCATTAGTCAGAGCGGGAATTTTAAAATCGCTCAAAAAGGCAAAAATAATGAAAATAAGTGGAAAATTATTTTTCCATAGCAAAGTTTAATACCCAAAGCTGCAAATTCCGAGGAAAACAAAAAACTCAATTTTTGGGCAAATTTCAGGTTTACCCCCGCCTTAACGAAATGTCATGTTTTAATAGTGCTTACATGTTCGTAACAATGCAAATTTACAATACCTGCGCCATCCGCCGAGGTCGCCATCGCAAACACGAGGAGAAAGGTGGACCACGTTCTTCTGCACAGCGGTCTTCATGTTTCTTCATTTAAGACAACTTGAAATTGACCTGTTTCGTTTGCAAAGTCCCCTGTTTTCCCCGCGGTGCAAGGCTTTTGGAAAACAAACCTCCCTCATTTCCCCCGCCTCCAGGGTAAGTTAATCGTTCAAATCCCCGTTTAAGTCCCCATTCAACGTTGAATTTGCCCGGGGTCCGGGCCCGGATAGTTTATATTTTGATAATATCTAAAGTAGCAATATGAGTGCATGTATTCTCACATCCACTGGAAGAATACTCTTTGCTGCTCTAAGGCGCTTTGTTTTTCATATGCACAAATCAAATAAGATCTATATTCTTGTGCAGGAACTGGACCATTTGTTGCCTCTGTCTTATTTTGATAATTTTCTGTACTTTAAATCAGTCTTAATTATAAGCTGCTTTACATTACCACATTTGCTAAGTCATTGAAAAGGGAAGCTTTACTCACAAGTGTCTCTTGGGTGTAATTTCTTGCAATGCTTGCACTGTTAAGAAATATACTGATTTAGGGAAGAGATCTATTTTAGAAAATGGTTGAATGAATGTTAAATATGTATGTATGCTATATTCTTTCACAAGATGTTTCAAAGTTTGTCTGTTTTATACCACAATTAAGATTCTTAATAACTGTAAAATCAGGTAGCATAAAAGGTTTTTACATAAACAATATCTAGAACCTAATAAATGAGTGTTGGAAAGATAAAGTATGTGGTGTATTTTCATTATTTGAATGTAAGGGGGAAAATCAGCATAGAGAGGAAAGAGCCCTCTACTTCTGAAGTGGCCCACATTGGAGCTGAATTGGCTCTTTTTAAAGGGGCCATTTGTGAGAGGGCTGAAATTTTGGGGGCTGTTTTGGCCCCTATAAATTTCAAAGTGGCCTCTGTATTTTTCAAATTCACCCTTCACATGGTCCAATTTGGCCCCTACAACGGGGTCAATTCAGCCCCAAAATTGGTGCCAAAAACAGCCCCATTTCAATGGGGCTGAATTGACCCTAAGCGAGTGCCAAACTGGACTCACTCGTTTTGGCCCCATTTTTGGGGCCAAATCAACTCTTTTAATTTTACAGTGCACATTTACTCAAATATCTGAATGCGATTGTTCAAACAATCAGTGACAACTATCCTACCATCACTAAGAATTGCTGTAGATGTTGGACCCTCGAACTCTCCTGGCCCACTCCCTTTTTTTCCAAACTTTGTTATAAACCTACCACTCAGTTCAAATACCTGAACTCTGTGATTGTCTCTGTCACAGACCATCAGGTGTCCTGCCTTGTTAACTGACAAAAAACGGGGTTCTTTAAACTCCCCGTCCCTGTTTCCCTTATTTCCAAATTTGTACAAAAAGTTTCCATTTATATCAAACACTTTGATACAATGATCACCATCGTCTGACACAATTAGATATTTGTCATATTGAATACAGTGACAAGGAGAAGTAAAACCTTCACCTTCACCTTCACCAAGTTTATACAAAAACTGGCCACTGGGAGAAAAGGTTTTTATAACTTTGTTGCCCTTATCGGCAACAATGATATTTTCATTCCTGTCGACAGATAAACCAAAAGGATCCCTCAGCTGGTGATCAAGATTTCCTTCACCACCAAACTGGCTCAGGTACTCACCCTGCTCATTAAACAATTGAACTCGGTTGTTAATACTGTCTACTACTAAACTGCGACTATTTTTATTAAATGCTATCCCAATAGGAAAATTAAATTCTCCCTGTTTATCACCCTCCCCCCCATAAGATCTTAAGTAAGTTCCATCACTACTGAATACCTGAACCCCGTAGGTACCCATATCAGTCACTGCAATTTCATCTCGTTCATTCACTGCCACTCCATATGGACTGAATAGCATTCCAATAGACGAGCCTTTTTGTCCAAAAGATAACACGTGTCTGAACTGTCTGGGTTTCGGTTTAACAGGAAATGGACTACCACGAATGTGTTCTTCATTTATTTTCACTGATACTTGGCATTTTCCTGTATCTTTGAGGAAATATCTGACTTTGTACCTACCATCTTTCTCATCTTTAAGTCGCACTTCCGTCGCACAGTCATGGCCTTGCTGATTTTTTATTTCCACGGTTACAGAGGCACGCTCATTGTAACATTGTTCTCCTTCGGCATTTCTCGTTGTTAACAAAAAGTTTGATTCAAGTCCAACTCTCGCTTCAGTGATTCCTTTCCCTTTGGCAGATGACCGATCAGCGCAAGTGTGTGTCACATAAGTTCGAAATGAGCCGATGCCGTCAGAGTTAAGACTGTCAAGTAATGTTTTGTTTTCTTTGAAACGGATTTGACGAAGACCTTCAAGGTCAGAAGTGGCTTGTTTTCCAACATCGCTGACTTCCTCAGGTAAGACTGTATTCAGTGACGTATCTATCTGCGTAATCTCAGCATTTGTACATCGTTTTAAAAGTGTTTCAGCTTTTTCGACTGCTGTTTCCAGCCGTTCGACTCGACGCTTTACCTCGCATTGTTGAGTTCGCACACATCCAAGGGATTCTTTAATTTGTTTATCAGCTCTGTTTAACATTTCCTTCTTCTTTGTTTCAATAACTGCGACCAAGTTTTCGGCAAACTTGTGGATGTCTCGTTTCACTGCATTGCCTCGCGCTTCAATTTGGTTACACTGTCTTTCAAGATCAGCGATTACCTTTTTCTTGTGTTCAATATTTTTCTTTTGTGTCTCGATCACAGACGTGACATGTATCTTGCGTTCACTTGCTGCTTCTTCTAGAACAATCTTAGCGTGACCATCATGGATGGTTGCAACACACAAATTACAAATGACAACACCACAGTTCTTACAAAAGAACCTGAGTTCTTCTTTTTCGTGATGCTTCTGTTGGCAAAATACCGGCCGCTTTAACACGTCCTTGATGTCTTGATCTTCAAAATCTTTCAGAGCAAGAACCCGATGCTCTTTATTCGCTTTGATTAAGTTATGCGCAATGATACACTCGTCACACCAGAACGCACAGCACTGAAAACAGTACGAACTGTGTCTGCTACTTTTGTCGCAGTTTGCACATTTTACTCCAGCAGTATGGCATTCTTTGATGGCCAGCACATCTAGCAAACTGTTGATACGAAAGTTTGTTGGCAGATCCTTGAAGTTTCCACTGCTAGGAACTTGAACTTCTCTTCGGCATTCAGGACATGGGATGATATCATGGCGGCCACTTGTTCGTAAAATCTCGTTCAAGCAGTGAAGACAAAAAGTGTGCAAACATGACAGTATTTTTGGTTCAGTAAATGTGGTCATACACACAGAACAGGATACTTCTTCATGAAGATTGTCAAGCAAGGTTTTTATATCCATGATTGATTACAACCGTCTAAGGTAGAGATATCAACTTCAAGTCGCCTCAAGCAGAACTTTTTGATATCAATTATCATATTTATTGCATCAGTGACATCGACCAATCAAGGCAAGTTATTCAAGTTGTAGATGTCTGGTTTCTAAGAATTGTTGACAAACAGGTTATTCTGAGAAAAGCTTGACCTGTAACAACCCCAAATTAAAAGATTACTAAACTCAGACACGCAATATACTTCGGTAAAAAACTAAATCTTTAATGTTAATTTCCATCAAAAAACACCCGCTATAGTCACGTTACTGTTTCTTTCATGCTTCTAAAAAAGAATTGACCAATATGAGCTCATAAACATGACCTGACTGTAGTAAACCCTTAAGGAGTGTGTTTTGTAGGAAAAATCCTGGACTGTGAGAGGGGTAAAAAGTTGAGGGTGACATCGCCTGCAGAGAGAAGGTGAATCAAGATGGGAGCATGCGTATAAGAATTCAGTGGATGTTGAAAACACTGACGGAGAAGAAAAATTTCGCAACAAGAGAAAGATGGTCGAGGGTTTCAGATAATAAACTTTGCAAAAAAGCCTCTTTTGTTGTCAAAATAAACATGTGACGTGGATTTTTGTGCGTATGGAAAGATTGGACCTCAAGAAGGCACTCGGAAAATTGATTGAGTAGACCTGTACACTTAAATTGCGGATAGTTTTTTAAGATATGGCCGAGCATTTTAATTACGTGTCGAGCTTCGAAGAGGTTTATACAGCAGAGAAATTTTTGTAAAATCTTGACTTTGTAGAGAGTTTTAGATAATGAGGGAAAGATATACGATAAATATATTCCAGCGGGGAGACACGAAAATCTTCCACTGACGAAGAAAAGACACGACCACGCTCTGATTTCACTACCTCAGAGACACGAGACTTTTTGGTGAGTAAGGCCCAGTAAGAAATTCATATGTGACACGTGTCCTGCATTCTGCCAGGATCAGCGAAGCCGATAGCGTCATGTTTCTAAATAGAATTCGATAAGTCAAAAAAAATGTCTCTCTCCATAAGAAACGAAGTTATCATCATTGCAGCGAACGATTGACGGAACGCAAAGGAACCTGAGTGAGGGAACTGGACTTGAATTCAGTAAAGTACAACATTTAATAGTTGATTTTAGGTCTGTCGAAGGAATATTTTTTAGTATTAAATAATCATATTCTGCATGTAGTTTTGAAAACTCTTTTACCCTTTGCCAATAAAATCAATGCATCTTCTGATCTTCACTAACAATCTTAAGTGGCCATACAGACAGATAACAACGAAGGCAACTGACAATTTGTGAATAATCCCTTGGTGATGACAGAATGGCTATGATTATTTATCGTAATATATTTCGCTTGAAGTATGGCTAGGAGATTTCCTTCGCAAAACTAAGGCCATTAAGGATCCCGGCTTTGATTGCTCAGTTTTTAAACGAACTTCGCAATGTCAGCAGCAAAATCTGAATCGCCGCTATCCCGGAGAAATGCTGAAGTAAACCCTACAACCGACAGGTCAGAAGACGGGTTAAATAACTGAACACACTGGAACAGTTTCACACTTTCTTTTTACTTTTATTCTTTTTTGTGTGTGTGTTTTGTTTTGAAGTTTCATGACAACACTTTTTATAATTCTTTTCATCTAAGAGCAAAATTTTCACTTTGCAAATAGCGTTTATATATTGGAAATTGCGAATAAATTTATCCCATGACAATGTTTGCTGCGTAGCGAAATAATCTTAATGAATCATCACCTATAAATTTAAACTCAAGCTCTCAAGCTACGTAAATTTTATAAACGTTTTCACCGTGTTCCAATTTTTTTAAATGTTAGCTTACTTTACATACAATACTTTTCTGTTTCCCCAAGCGTATTTGTACAATTAAGGTAGTAACAATGTCACCCATGGTAAAAAGTATGTCAAGGGGAGATGTGGTCCTTTTCAAATGTAGAATTTCTGAAGATCAATGGATAACTATTGCCTTAGTAACAAGGAATAGTTACGATCCGATGTTTAATTTAAATTCTTTGTATGTGCTTCCTAATATTTTCGTTATTCTATACACATCACAGCGTAAGTAAATAGTTAAAAAAACCCTAAGCAAATATTGTTAGGTTTTGATAATCACTAAACATCGTTTAAACATATCAAAGGTGAGTTTGAAACAAAGTCCTTAACAATTTTGAACTTCTGCTGGAGAAATTTTCTCCATGGCGAATACAAAATACAAGGTCTGAACGTAATGAAAACTATAAATAACATTGGCCACCCTATCTGCTCACCACATAAGAGCAGCAGTACTTTTTTCCAAGACATAAATAAAAGATTTAAAGCAAAAACAAATAAACAAAAACCAAACGTCCCGTATCAGATTATTTACATTAGAGTTACAACTTCAACAACGTTAAATTCTCTCACTCTGAAGCTCAGATGATTATTGCGATTCTATGCTCTCTTTCAAGGATTATAAAGTAAAGAGTAATAAATACCCTACTACTAAAAAATATCGACGATATTCTCCTCAGTTACCAGAAACTCCATTCCACTCCATTCATATACGCTCACGTATGTCCACAGTGCACCTAACAGTTCACTGCCTGCCCTGTGCTGATTATCTGGTGTTACTTTGACTGGTTTTTCGCGTCCTCGTCCTGGAAATACACGTCAGCCGTTTATCTACGGCGATTTTATCTACAGCTTTCGTTAAGGAACCAATCGTCATGCTGTTTAATAGTGACCCTGGTTCACAAATGTGTGTTTATATAGGGCTTGATGTAACTGGTTGTGTTACCATTTTAAAGGCATTACATTGTGTATAGCCTACGCCACCCGAGTAATGACTATGTATTTAAAACATTTATTGGCTAATTCGCGGTGTTCCGAAAAATTACTGTGAAGGAATAGAATGGTGAGCACTCTGTGGTCTTTCACAAAGCAGAATCTTTCAATTCGCTACTCTTCTGAAGTGACATTAAATTACGCCCGGCCCAGCGTTGCTTAAGACTACTCCTCCCTTGTTCAAAACACTTTTGTGACATGGTATACAGTGCACCCTATTCAAGATGAAAAGACCACAGTAACTTTATCTTTTTGGGTGGCATTAGTGGAGAGGGAGAAGAAAAAAGATATTCAGCATTCGGAGTCCGTATTTATTTCGTTGAGGCGGCGCAAACGAGATCAAAAGATACATTTATTGAACAGACGCCGATCAAGATCTAGCAAATAGCGAATGGCATGCCTCAACGTTAAAGGTAGGTACCTTTTCCATGGCGTAATGGTACATTGGTCTGTCAGTGCTGACCTGTGAGAAGGATATAAGATGTATTTTACTCTGCGTCAAATGAAGCAGTGGATAGAAAAGTAACCTCGCCACAGCTCACCTCCAGGCGTTTGTAAACAAAGCACCAGCAAGACAGTTTGAATTGAGTAGTATCTAGGGAATACTGACGGAAGGGGAGGGGGGAGGGGCTAGGGAGGGGGGTGGGCGAAAAGGAGAACAAAGGGTGCAGAAAAGGAGCGGAGAGTTCACTCGAACGCACGTAGCCTAGAGCCCCGCCCTTTGTAATGAGGTTTCCCGAAACAAAATGAAATTCATCACAACAACCCATTCCACAAAGGTACATTTTGAAATGGCCCACGAGAATTCAGCTGAAATGGACGAAACTCGTCTGAAGCTTGGAAACGCGCGTGACCAAGCCACGATTGATATAAGCTCTGACTCTTTGGTAGCGACAATGGTGCAAAGTTTTAAGCCAATCGCAAAGTGAACAGTAGCAAAACCAAAGCAATTATGTTGCAGAAAGCTGATTTAATTCTCGAAAGGATTTCACGCATACATGTGTCCAAACACTGGTGATATCGACTGTTCAAGTCGTTTAAAACTGAAAATTGTAAACAAAGATAATAGAAAAACTTAATGCTTCGTTGAGGCTTGTTACAAGCACCTGTAGAAAAGGGTAAGGCCTCAGAGCATCTATCTGTCTCACCATTCTTAACGGCGTTGGAGGATTTTAGGTGGCCAACTCTGATTTCTCCTCGTGCGAAGAGAAGAGGCAGTTTAAGAGCTCGTAGAGCTTTCACGAGCAGTACCAGCTGTTCCATTTTCCTGCAAAATGTTTGAACCTTAATAAGTCACATCTAAGTAAAACCAAATACTTCGCTACAAGGTAAAGTCTGTTTTTGCAAATCCGATTCCAGTGATCCTCCCCTTAACAAATATATTTCATCTTACTATGGGTCAGTTCAGTAATAGATAACAGATGATATCAAAGAGTAGAAAGAACAAAACGTGGCACACGAGGCGCAGCCGAGTGTGTCCTTGATGTTCTTACCACACTTAGACGTCATCTGTGATCTATTACTCTACAGACCCACAGCGAAATGGAATCTATTTGTTTTATATAATCAAAATGCAAAATGTTGGTAATGGTGATGTCATCTTTGCATCTGTCCTCCAATAGATCATTAGTAAGACCTAATCAAATTAAGTTATATCATTTAAATCCAATTTGTTACCTTAACTCGTCACTTTTCAGTCCAATCTGGTCTGCGAGGAGGTCTTCGTTCTGAAAGGGAGAAAAACAGAGTATTTATTCATTGGCTACGACATTTGTTACGAAGGAGAACAAAGATTTAAAATTTTTGTAATAATCGAACAATTCATCCGTCACATTGATAGACGGATGCGAGACTTTTAACCTGTTAAACTACGCAAATCACCAAGGGCAGCCAAAAAACAACATCAAAATACGTACTTGTCGGATGGCCACAGAGTCTGTCAGCACTGTAAAAGGTGTTCCCCTGGCACTGATCACCTCAAGAATGGCATCCGTCAGAGACGAAACGAAATTGAGTTTCCAAACGCTCTCCGTGTGCTCCATCTGGGGTTTTTACGAATTAAAATTTTAAGTTAACAACAATGTTGTTTCGCTCTGTTTTGCAATCTGTGATTGCAAAACAATAGCAGAGAAAACCCAGCTTATGACTTAAGAACAATCTCTTTTGACCTTAAAAAAAATTAAAAGGTTATCTAGAACTTTGAAGGCTTTTACTGAGGGTTGTCCTGAATGTCTTCGTGTGTATATATATATATATATATATATATATAGATGGTATACCTGTTGGAGCAACTTTCAATTGAGTGCTTAGAGTGATTCGAGATTACAATAGTTTTGCTTCAATATGCTTTTCTATTTCCTTACTTCTGATTGGTAGTTGTAATTACTTTGGTTTTGGTTCTATGCCACTCCATCGAAAAGCTAAGCGCTCTGATACGTAATATTTACCTTGACTAACAACAGCAGGTTTCTGTCCATTATTAGTCGCGTTTGGTGAATTCCTCCCGAGTAGAAACATGTTCTCGCTAGTTTTTGGCGAACACGACCCAACAGTAAAAAGACCCTTCAATCGTGGGATCTCTAGCCTCCTTACCATGGTATGTCTTACTCGGCGAGCCTGGTATGGTAGGAAGTCCGGTAGGAGAGGATGAAATAGGTGGACTCTTTCAACCACCTGAATTGCGACGAAATACGGGAGCTGCCCGTGCAGCCCCAAGTTGGAAGCCTAGTCATGTCAATAGACCTCCCTTCCTTGGAAGGCCCATCGCTAGTATGGCTGGCGAGCTGACCACGCGTATGATCTGCTTGGTGTCTGCTCCTAGTTCGGAGAGGTCTGTTACTGGGACACCCATTCCTGAGCTTGAATGACGAGCCAGAGCTGTCAATATTGGGAAGCTGAGTGACCAAAGGTTCAATATTGGAGAGAGCTCTTCGGAAAATCCCAACTGCTGCACCCCGTGCCAATCCGTTATCAGCATTCGTGTTAGAAAATCCTGCAAAAGCTTGCTGATGCAGGCTTACGGTCATCTCAGGGATAGAAGATCCTTTGGGGCTAACCTACGCTACTTGCCTCTGCTACTTGCGGCTGCTACCACTTTTCAATGCCTTTGTGCTACTATTTAGGCTCTTACCTACTAACGGTTTTGAGGACGGGGTGCCAACTCTCTGCTCTCTAGGGTTCATGCCTGAACTAGCTCCGCTGTGAGCGGGTGATGGGGAAGTTCTAAAGGATATATGTCTAGGTACACTTCCAGTGCGTGGAATAGGCAGAGGAGAGGATGGCGGCTGACCTCTTGATGCATTTCTCTGCGAGGAACTTGTGCGCTTTCTTATTGGGATCTCAACTGAAGGGGATTTTGCAGATGATGGAGATGACAATGGGGAAAGAGCGGGCTGGCCTGTATCAGAGGTGAAGGTGGGGAGACTGGGAATGCTGACTGCGGTGAACCAACTGTAAAGGTGGCTCTCTGAGGAGTGTGTAGCGGATGAGAAGGAGAATGTGTACTGCTTACAGTTCTTGGAGGTGATTGGCTGAGGAAAAAGAACAAGTTACAATATCATTCAGCTATTCCCTGTAAGTTCGGTTGCCATGGAAAGGCCATATTCAACCCGCCATCAAATTGGCCAAGAGTAGATCTACAAAATTCAGTCAGTAAAAGTAAACTGAAAATCACAACAAAAAACGAACGAGATATTGAGGACGACCCAAGAATGAGGTCAGACTTTGGTCAGACTAATTCAAAATCAACTTTTGACCGATAGTACGTGTGACTTGGGCAAATATCAGACGAGTCACATATAAGATTTTTCTCCAGGCTGATAGACCTCTGACAACATTCTGTGCAATTTTGACATTCAATCCTTCAATGAACTGCTCCTGACTAACTGAATAAAACACTCGTAAAAAGGGGAGATGTTATTACATACATACATACATACATACATACATACATACATATACTTGATTTAAGCTCGAAATTCACTGTAGCTGTAGAGCTAATATCTTCGAGAAAAAAGCTAAAATGAAATAAAAATATGCTATCCTACAATTTCAATATTATTTATAAACTATATACAACTAAAAGCTTAGAGGGAAAACTAAGAGGGAAACATAACTTGTAGATTACAAGTTATTGAGAGCGAAAAGTGAACAACTAGTACCTTAAAAAGAGTGCGGGACAAAGTCAATGGAAGGTAACTGACAAGGATGTAAGAAATTTTACGTCGAACATCTAAAAAACCATACCATACCCTCAAACATTTGAGGTGTTCCTAACCCCACACCCCGTGGTTGAGGTTACTTCGTAGTTACTGGTAATTACAAATAGGACTAAATAGTGTCTTCTCATGTATGCGAAATCCTAGATTGTGAACAATAAAACAGTTGGGGGTGACATCAGTTTAAGAACGGGCAAGAGCATATAAAGTGTTTATTCTCTTGCGGAACGGATTTTAACCCGATTAAAGTCGTGGATTTCAGCGCGCATCTCATGATGAATTGAACTCAACAAAGCACTCAACAGAGGTGTAAAGATCCTCGCTCGCTATTTCCACTTCTGATGTGAGTCGGAGAAGAGTAAGCATTGGGCACTGGTGAGTTTGTCTTATCGCTGCATCTTCCGTATGAAAATTCAAAGCGGCCTCCTGCTCCAAGCGAAGGTGGTCTGTTTGTTCAACATATGGCCGAGCCCTTTGCCTATGTGTCGAGCTTGCAATGTGATCAGTAACATCTGAGTCTTTCTTTGAACTTCGCTGCTACCTTGGAGATCTCATCAAAATCAACACTCCGCGGGCATCAAAAGTTATGTACTGAATACTACTGAAATAATTGAACACACTAGAACGGATTCACATTTTCCTTACTCTATGAAAATTTTAATCAATTTTTGTTTCTTTTTCAATAATGAATACGCAATCATATTGTTTACATTTCTTTTGTTTGTCCTCCCTAACAAACTAGAATTACAATGGTTGGATTCTTGCACGCGAATCGAAACATTAAAAAAAACCTTAGATTTTAATGACGTTCCTTCTTTACAGTTACAATTTTTCCGGCAAACACTGCGTGATTTACATGAATAAAATAATCACGTCGCAAACATTATTGGGTTCAATATCACTTTGACGTGCAGCTCCGTGTAACTCTACACTGATATATACACCAGCATTATTCGTTTATAACGAGTGAACTGAAGGACGAGCCATTAGAAAAGAAAATAGCCAACAACAAAAGAAAAGTAAAAGTGTTGTCCATTCAAGCTCATGGAAAAACGACAATTAGAAGCAACAACGACAATTTGTGAAAGAAATCTTGGCGATTTTGATTGAAAATGACAATAACCAGTTTGCAGTTGACTTATTGTTTTTCTAATGGCTTCTCCCGAAAAGTTCAAAACGTGTCATTTTAATCTACATTTAATTAATTTCCATTCATTTAGGCAAAATAACCAAGGCAAGAAAACACTTTTCTTGGGATTACCGTGAGCAAGAGAAAAAAATGGGACATTAAAGCGTGAACTGATAACTATACAATGCACAAAATCGAATCCACTGACTCAAAGTTCTAAAATGTTCTTCTCACTGAAACTATAACAAGAAGCCTATCTGAAAAATGATTTCAAGATTAGGTGAAAAGAATGTTTTTTAGAAGTAAATTGTAGTCTGAATGTGATGGTAGATAAATTATCCACATTTACTCAAATATCTGAATGCGACTGTTAAACCATTCAGTCACAACTATCCTACCATCATTAAGAACTGCTGCAGATGTTGGCAAGCCGAACTCCCCCAGCAAACTCCCTGGTTTTCCAAACTTTGTTACAAAATTACCACTCAGTTCAAATACCTGAACTCTGTGATTCATTGTGTCACAGACCATCAGGTGTCCTGCTTTGTTAACTGACAAAAAACGGGGCTCGTTAAACTCCCCGTCCCTGTTCCCCTGATTTCCAAATTTGTACAAAAAGTTGCTGTTTATATCAAACACTTTGATACAATGTTCACCAGCGTCTGATACTATAAGAAATTTATCATATTGAATACAGTGAAAAGGAGAAGAAAAATGCCCACTTTCACCTTCACCAAGTTTATACAAAAACTGGCCGCTGGGAGAAAAGATTTTTATAAGTTTGTTGCCCTTATCGGCAACAATGATATTTCCATTCGTGTCAACAGATACACCATAAGGATCCCTCAGCTGGTGATCAAGATTTCCTTCATCACCAAACTGGCTCAGGTACTCACCCTGCTCATTAAACAATTGAACTCGGTGGTTACTTCTGTCTACCACTATACTGCGACTATTCTTATCAAATGCTATCCCAGTAGGCCAATTTAACTCTCCCTGTTTATCACCAATCCTACCAAAAGATCTTAAGTAAGTTCCATCACTACTGAATACCTGAACCCTGTGGTTATGAGCATCAGTCACTGCAATTTCATCTCGTTCATTCACTGTTACTCCACATGGAAGGCTTAGCATTCCAACAGACGAGCCTTGTTGTCCAAAAGATAAGACGTGTCTGAACTGTCTGGGTTTCGGTTTAACAGGAAATGGACTGCCACGAATGTGTTCTTTATTTACTTTCACAGATACTAGGCATTTTCCTGTATCTTTGGGGAAATATCTGACTTTGTAGCTGCCATCTTTCTCATCTTTCAAGCGTACTTCCGTCGCACAGTCATGGTCTCGCTGATTTTTTACTTCGACGGTTACAAAGTCACGCTCGTTGTAACATTGTTCTCCTTCGGCATTTCTTGTGGTTAATAAAAAGTTTGATTTAAGTCCAACACTCGCCTCACTGATTCCCTCCCCTTCGGCAGTTGACTGATGAGCACAAGTGTTTGTCACAAAAGTTTGAAATGTGCCGATGCCGTCAGAATTAAGACTGTCAAGTAATGTTTTGTTTTCTTTCAAAAGGAATTGACGAAGACCTTCAGGGTCAGCCGCAGCTTGTTTTCCAACATGGCTGACTTCCTCAGGGAGGACCGTATTCAGTGACTTATCTAACTGTGTAATCTCGGCATTTGTACATCGTTTTAAAAGTGATTCAGCTTTTTCGACTGCTGTTTCAAGTAGTTTGACTTGACGCTGGACCTCGCGTTGTTGAGTTCGCACACATCCAAGGGATTCTTTAATTTGTTTATCAGCTTTGTTTAACATTTCCTTCTTCTTTGTTTCAATGATTGCGATCATGTCTTCAGCAGACTTGTGGATGTCTCGTTTCACTGCATTGCCTCGCGCTTCAATACGATTACACTGTCTTTCAAGATCAGCGATTTCGTTTTTCTTGTGTTCAATACTTTTCTTTCGTGTCTCGATCACAGACTTCATTTGTATCTTGCGTTCACTTGCTGCTTCTTCTAGAACAATCTTAGCGTGACCATCATGGATGGTTGCAACACACAAATTACAAATGGCAGCATCACAGTTCTTGCAAAAGAACTTGAGTTCTTCTTTTTCGTGATGCTTCTGTTGG